GCTATTAGATAAATCGGTCGTTCGACAAATAACACAGTAAAAGGACAAACTAATTTAATCTCAGCATTTGATGCATCTCGGCATTCTCTCGTATTTACGCGCGCCGAAATCTAGCACTGCGAGCACGCAACACAGCCGTTTCTAGACGAACGGCACGATTCCATATTTACATAGTAGTAATAGTAAATAGTAGAATATAGATTCGAGGTATCCCACAAATTTTCGATTCTGCGTGCAGAGGATCGAGCCAAATTGCCGACCTGAACACGATATAACGTTATCAAATCAGGACTGACAATTGTGCACACTGATACTCCTTGGAAATCGATCTCGTGCCATGCAAACTACAACTCTAATTAAAGTAAGTACATCTCATCTGTCTATGTGCATGTCAGGATTTATGTCAACATTTAACCTGAAACGTACGACGTACTCTCCTTTGCAGTCAAAAGTCATTCAGCGACTGATTATAAATCCATTAAATTTACACTTAAAGTACAAGATTTGAATTACTTACTATTCCAATGATACATGTAAATAATTTTAATCTAAATGATATCGTTAAGTGTGTAAAAAAATTAAAACATATTATTGCTAATTTTTGATCCGGAAAAGATAAGTTTGTTTGCTAAAGTACACAATATTGCGTGAATAAACATAGCGATGATGAGAAAGATGCAGTGAGGTAACTAATTCTCATTGGCTTTAGGTTTTGACCGTGGGGAGTAAATGCTTATATTTATATATTGCCCCGTTTAGCAAGAACTCAAAGATCGTTAACAGGCACACTCTAAATAATGTGGAAAATATTCTATAAAATAATCTATATCTATAAAAACTTGATTTTTCTTTGCACTTTAAATTTTACAGTCAATTTTGTTAATTATTCAAGTTTGTATACTTTTGATATGTTGTTCAATCAAAAGCCATGGAAGTTTACGGGGAGTAAAATTTAAGCCGTTTAAATTTTATTTTTTCTGTTTAAGTAAGAAGCTTTTGTGACTATTGTTTTGCTTGTTCACATTCTTTTTTCTCTAGTAATTATGCAATTGCGTTATGTAATTTGACGTTGATAATCACGCAATAAATTAGTATGATGTATCGAATGTGGCAAAGTGAAAAATATCATACTGTGTCGGATTTCAACTGCATAAATGTGCACATGACAAGTCATAAAAATTTTCTCACGCTCTTTTTTATGAAAAACAGTTGTCACCATTTTCCCTACAAAACAGTTGACTGTCTTTACAGAGAGTTGCCTCGTTTGTTTCTCCCGGTGATAGCCGGAAACACCACACAAGTCGAGCTTTTCAGTTTGTTGTAGCGACCGTTAATTCGCCGTTTATCGCGTAAGCGTAGTTAATGCCGGCGTATTCGCTAATACTTCTTCCGCAACGACTTACGAATATGCACAGCTGCACTAATTGTTGCGGTACACTAATCAGCTTAACTAGTCGAGTAGGCAGGTGGATGGTTACACACGCGCTTCCTAAATACATTAACGTTACACAAGAGGATCTACCAACCAAGCGATTTCCTATCGATTTTCAGAATGTTCTACTGTGCTGCACAAGTACAAGTTTTTCATATAGTTTTTTCGATTATATAGCTTTACAATTATAAAATATTACAGTATATATTTTTTTTTGTCGGTTATATATTAGGTATTTGTTTTTTAGAGAGACGAGATTCTGTAAAATATTCTTTTTCCTGTTTTTTTTCTCAAATCCGATCTGCTTTCTTTGATGCACAAACCAACAAATTATCAGCAGATAGATAATAGTAATAGAAATGTTTTGACCGTAATAAAATTCCCAGAAACTCGGGCGTTGGAGAGGGAGAGAAGAGATCGAATTGTAATTACGAAATACGGATCGGCAGCTGCGCCTAACAAGTAGAATAACGACGACGAGAAATATCGAATTAATCGAGACTTCTGTGTAATTGGGGCGTTTTGCTACAAGAGCGAAGACGTTTGAAATATTTCCTTTGCAATATCTTACATTATGTACAATTCATTATTGATACTCTATCAGTACTTTATAAGTTATAATAAAAACTTTTAAGTTATAATAAAAAGATAGTTATGTAGTAAAAAAAAGATACGATGTTCACATAATTAAATGAAAGCTGATGAACGAGTTCTGTTGGCGATATATGCGTTGCTCGTACAGATTATTTTTCTCACGGAGTTCCATGCGCGATAACTATTCGATAAAATCTAAAATATGTCGGAGAATAGGTGTCGTTTGACTTACGATGGCACGAGTTATGCATGTCGAGAGAAAAGATCGATAACGAGAATCTGTATAATATCCGATCTGTCGGATATGCGCGAGTTCGATAACGGCGATGGCGGTGGCTCTCTTCTACGTGATGGCGATTTTTTGTCAGCAATTCTGTGAACGTCGATGCATTAAAAAGATTGAGTAAACGTACCGAAAAATGGTCCGAAAAAGACTACTTAGTTGAGTTAAAAAAAAATAAATAAAAAAAAAAAAATAAATAAATAAATAAAAAATAAAAAGACTTGGTCAAGCAGAAATAGACGTCAAAAGGCAGACAAAACTTGAAAGAGATGTTAAAATCCAAGTCGCATCAGGAAAATATTCGTATATTTGATGGATTTGTGTTCAAAAAACGTTACCATGAACTAGCGCGCGCACGCACATAGAGATAGCTCAAGATTTCTTAATAGTGAAATATAGAATTCACTATTCAACAGACTAAAATACAGAGAAACTTAATTCTATCCATGTAATTCTCGCAAAACTGATCTAGATCAACATTTTATTTTGTAAGATGTGTCTATTTTGCAAATGTCGTATAATATGTATAACTTGACATATGCCAGGAGTCATTTTCTCTAATCTATATATATAATCAATAAAATCAAAAGCTATTGTATATAGATATATAGATATATGCAAAATAATTAAGATATAAAAACAATTTAGTATTTAATCGGCAAACAATTCTCTCTCTCTCTCTCTCTCTCTTTCCTATTTCCAAAAAACAAGTTAAAAGATTTTACTTTCAATTTATTGAATCGGAATACGTGCTCGGAAATACGTGTTCAGAATTCACATTCGATACAGTATCTTTATTACAGAAATATAATGTCTATATAGAGAAAAACGAAATAATAAATAATAGGTCGAAAATAAGTACGAGGACACGCATAGCTGGAAAGATGCAAAAGGCAGAGAAGAAGGAAAGTAGATTGAAAGCTAGATCAACGAAAAAGAAAGAGAAGAAGAAAGAAAAAGAGAAAGTTGATTACTGATGGATATCACTTGTGTACTGCTATATAAATACTGCTATAAAATAAGAGAAAAAAGAAAAGAGCAATATTAAACTTAGGAAAGATTATGTTCATACTGCAGCTAGCAAGCTCGATCAAAAGCCTATCAACGCCCCCTATTTAAAGCCCGCTTTAAACCAATGATACTATTCAAAGCAGGCGAGAGCAAAGAACATGAGAAATGTTTACCACACGAAGGTAAAAAAGAGGAAAGCGTGTGGTTACACTGCAGCAATGACACTGCTACTCATTTTAACTAATCAAAGTTACACGTAGTATGCTACTTCAATGTGAAAGTCGACTAAGAGTCACTATGGTTTTAATGGCTAAAAGGTTTGCTAACTGTATATTTATATATCTATTTGAAAAAGGATCTGAAGAAAAGGAAGATTAGAATGAGAAGGAGAAATGTATTCGTGTCGACATTTCCAGGAAAGTCAAAACACATTTATATACCCTGCGTGACAGTAAAAAACAATAGAAAAAGATGTAAGTTTTTCTATCTACAGATCAATAGATTTGGCTACACAATGTATATTGTCTTTTGTAAACTATCCTTATTTAAATTCTGAAGAATTCCTTATCTCTTTCTACGTGCTGAAGAATTAGCGTGATGTTACAAGAGTAAAATAAGTATTCCAATAAAAAAAAAAAAAAATTGTGCTCTGTTTCTGATAAGTAATTATTAACGTAACAAAAATAAAAATGTACTGTAACTAAAAAAAAAAAGCTACAATTTTTATATCAATATTAAAACATTCAATTTATCAGAGAGAGAAAAAATGTTGTACTTCTATATACATATATTTTTACATCATAATTTTGTATAACTGAATTTTTCTCTAACTGGAAAACTATTTATGTAAAAACAAGAAACAAAAAAGCAACACATCCGAAAAATAATATACTAGAAAGAAACATCATAAAATATTGAAAGAAGTAAGAACGAGTGACACTACAATAAAAGTAAATTAAAAATCAAGCATGAGAAATCTTGTAAATGTGAAAACCGAACACATAAAGAAAATCAGTCGTTGTCTTGTACCTTTAGTCCGACACTGACATCCGCTCATTTTCTTATTTGCTCTCTCGCTCGTACCTACATCTGGCACGAAACAAGAGAAAAGGGAAAAGGAAGAAGTGACATGGTTGGCAGAAGAGAGAACCAGCAAGAATTCGGTTGGTGGTTTGGTGCGCTTGTGGCTCTTGCAGCAAGAATTCGAGTAAGAGAAACCGAAGGGAGATGAGGATAAGATAGAAAAAGATCGAGAGAGAGAAGACCGAGGGGATTTAGAGGAGACCTAAGAACGAGAGAGATCTCAACACACAGAAACCAAACGCTATGCTGCATAACGCCGGTCGACGGAAAAGGTGCAGCGGGGGTGCTCAGAACCTAGGTAGTGGGGATACCGCGCCGGATCGAGTCGTCTGCGCGAAATGCTCGGAAAGGTCGCGCAGGAGAGGGGACAGCGCAGAGGATAAAGAGAGAGAGAGAGAGAGAGAGAGAGAGAGAAAGAGAGAGAGAGAGAGAGAGAGAAAGAGAGAGAGAGAGANGAGAGAGAGAGAGAGAGAGAGAGAGAAAGAGAGAGAGAGAGAGAGAGAGAAAGAGAGAGAGAGAGAGAAAGAGAGAGAGAGAGAGCAGTAAAGGCACGGCGAAGCAGCCCGACTGCTAGCCGAGTGTGTACGAGTCAGTCATCCGTGTTCCGTCGTACAAGTGAGATTGCAGCGGATCGGTCGCTCGCTCGCTCGCTTGCTCGGTTGTTTGCGCGCGTACGACTATGTCGCGGTCGTCATCTAACTGAGTCGTTTACACGATAACCATTGCACAATACGACGTATCGGAAGAAGATTCCAATTTGAATGAACGCAAATTTGCAAAGACACAACATCTGCGTCAACTTTCAGATGGTGGACGCAGACAGTTTGATGTAAGCAGCCGTTCGCTCACCGTACTTCATCTTTTTGTCTTCCGCGTTCTTTCTGGAGCGATTAAAACGTCGATTGATGCAAGAAAACCGGAGCTTGCGGCCAGTGCAAACGGTGAGCGAATTTATTTGCCGTACCATTCGCGCAAATATCGGTGCGCTGCAACTGATCACGAGATTTCACGTGATTCTCTGTTGCTATCACGGTGAGGTGTTACAATACCGTTAGACAGTTTCTCTTTCTCTTTCTCTCTGAGGTCAATTCAGCAAGGTAATCGTGAAAGGTTTTGTTATAAATTACAACTGCAATTGAGGGAAATTAGATTTTGATAGCAGTATTATATGTATATGTCGCATTTTTGGTATTCTAAAAAAATATATATGTTGAGAGAAAAAAAACACGAAATTCTTGTAAAAAAAGATAAGCAGCTACAAAATTGTTATAAAAAATAGTGATTATGTGATAGCTAAAAAAAGGTCCACGTGTTTTGTGTGTGCGTGTGTGTGTGGAGGGGGGAGGAAATTATGTGACATTTTCGATCATCGAAGATCAGAAGCTTGCACTGTCTTGGAACGCAGCCGTTAGTTTGAATCGGAGCATACAAAGCTTGTTTACGTCGTAGCATAACAACGTGAAGTTGCACGCGCTCATCTCGTTCAATGTCACATGACGTTTCAGAGTCACGACGTCACGTGCGTGGCTTTCACGCGCACAAGATATAAGATTAATTTTCAGATCGTCACATAAGTACGTGTATAGTCGGTTTTCTTGGATCTAATTTTATTCGTAATATGTAATATATAATTTTAGAGATGCTTAATACCGCTCTATTTGTGTTAACATGTAAAATAATATATAACATTTTCAACATAAACGTAAGATTTTTAAGTAAACTATAAAAATAAAGAAATTGTGTTACAAAAAAATCTTATGACAAGAGAGTTATGTACTTAAAGATAAACTTTATTTAAAAAAATGCGGAAATAGAAAAAGCATAGAATAGAAAAGGAAAGATAAAACGCAGTTATATAATATTTAGTACCTATAATACATTTTATTACGTACTATGTCAATATTAATACTAGGTTCAAAAAAATTATCATAAGAACAGGAAAATTATCATGGCCCTTTGAAGCAAAAAACACTGATGATAAGTGTTAACTTGATTAAGCTCAACACCACCTTATCCAAAGAAGAATTTTTTACGGCCATCAATTTTGTTTTTAACTCAACATTCTTTCTTTTCAATGATAAAATATACAAACAGACCTTTGGCGCTCCCATGGGATCTCCTCTTTCACCGATTCTAGCAGATATAGTCATGCAGGATCTAGAATCGTTCACCATTAGTTCTTTATCTTTTATCCCACCTCTACATGTCAGATATGTAGATGACATAGCTCTTATGGTTCCATCACACCAATTTGATAATGTTTTAGAGATTTATAATTCATATCATCCACGGTTGCAATTCACTATGGAGATTGGCTTTGATAGACTTAATTTTCTGGACATTACAATTATAAAACATAACAATAGACTTATTCACGATTGGTACCACAAACCGACATTCTCAGGCAAATACTTAAATTTCTTCTCTAACCATCCTATTTGCCAAAAAAGAGGTACTGTTATTAGTCTTGTCGACAGGGGCTTCTTTTTATCTCACCCACAATTTCATGCCAAGAACTTTGACTTAATTTTTAACATTTTAATTAATAACAATTATCCATATGACTTCATTTTTGATATTTTCAAACAAAGACTGAAATACAATTTTTTTTTAAATAATGACATAAGAAGATTCTTGTCGAACAATTCTTCGAATGAAATTCCGGTACGTTGGTTTGTGATGCCTTATATTAATAACTTTTCTAACAAATTTGTTAATATATTTCCGAAAGAGAATAACACTCACTTTGCCTTTTATAGCATTGACAAATTGTCCAGATTTATTAAAGTTTTAAAAGATCCTCTTCCAATATCCAAACGACCTTCCGTTGTGTATAAAATTAATTGTTTGGACTGTGATGCTTCATACGTTGGACAGACTAGAAGAATGTTACATCTAAGAATCATTGAACATAAAAATCATATTAGAAGAAATTCTTCTCAAGGATCGGTTATTACAGATCACAGGATTCAATGCTCTCATGATTTTGATTGGGACAATGTAAAAATTTTAGACAATGAAATATCTTACGTTAAACGCTTGATATCAGAAACTCTATATATACGAAGCCAAAGCCATGGTCTTAACCTGCATAGCGACACTGAAAATCTTGACAGATCATACTTACCTTTTGTTGATAATACATATTAATGTCGCTTGAGCGTTGATAATGGCTTTGACTTATATTTAAACCGCTGCACACTTTTGTCGGTCCTCATTTACTTTTATATTTCCAAATTGTAATCATGTGACTCGATTAAGTTTTTAATTCAAGAACAACATTATTATGTGCGTTAATCAAGTGACAAATTTCATCTACTTGTCTGTAAGTTGTAATTTTATAAATTTTGCGAATCTAACAATTGATTTATTTTTGTAGATATATATTGATAAAGGCCTAATCTAAGGCCGAAAACGTTTTATATATTTCGTGCTTGAATAAAGTAATGCTGCTATCACACACACATTATCATCAGTGTTTTTTGCTTCAAAGGGCCATGATAATTTTCCTGTTCTTATGTTAATACTAGTTGTTTTCTTATTGCGAGATTTTAAAGAAATCGTATAAAGAAAAAAATTAAAACTTTGAAGTACATAATAAATATACAAAAAGAGAAAATTTAGTGTCTAGAAACTAAGAATAAGCAATAAAAATTTATGTGATTCTCGTTGTGATATTTTTAGTTTTTTAGTAATTTACTTTATTTATTTTTCTTTTTATTAATTTTCTTTGAAAACCGAATTTGTTTTTTTCTTTCAGCTTATACATATAAATCTGTAATAAGTTTGAAACTTATCTAGAAAATAAGAACACATTTTGTGAAAATTTTAATAGATTAAATCTTATATTTCATGAACATCATTGTATCAACTGGTTTCAATTAAACGTTCGCTCATCGTGAAATATCCGTTTCTCCTGAGGGAGTGCGCAACCACCCGGCCCCCGTTTCACGGGGCTGTGTTAATTTGTAACACGGTGTTTACCGATCGCAAATGCACGGTGGTGAAACTAAATTTACTCGCAAAATGCGACCGCGCGAATCTCTTTATTGCGGTCGCACGTGTATTTTTCGAGATTTGTAGCATATGCGATTGAGAAAGTAATGTCAATTGCATTTGCTGAAGTTGATTTCACGACCTAGAGATCAATTATTTCTATATATTGACAACTTATCCTAGGCATTTTATCAAGTTAATAATACGTACAGCAGTTAACTTCTGATACATATTCCGTATAATATTGCAAAATATATATTAACAAAGCAACTGTTGAAGTCTCTTCAAGATGTTTCGCTGTTGCATAGAATTTACATCAAATATATAATTTATTTATGCTGTTATTGCTTTATTTTCATATTTGCGATACATTATTAATAAAAACGCGCAAAGTTATAAATTGGGAATGGTATCGCGCGATAGAACAAGGGTTGTGTCTTACACGATAGGGTAACACTTGGCATAATATCGAGGTACATGTCAGTGCTATCGAGGCGTTGTTTCTAAAATTAAAATCTACACCGAGATATGCCAAAGTCATCTCTATATGTATATATCAAACGTTGCCTCGTTAAAGCAACGAAGCGTTGCATATATGTATATATATATATACGCATATGTACATATGTCTGAAAAATAGATACGTCCGTATGTTGTTTTTCGGTGATCCGGAAAACTCTTGAAAAATATGCGTTATCCTGTATCTTTCCGGATCGTGTATCTCCATTAGGGTCCATTAATAATCCGTAATAGATTCTCAGCATTTTTTGAACTGTTCCATTTACTACATTGTTTTTAACGCAATCGCAGATTTTCGGTTTTGCTTTTATTATTAGTGCCATAGCAAAACTCGTTAATACCTGTATCATGCATTTTTATATCAAATGCGGAATGACGATATTGCGATGTTTTCATAAAAAATTGAAGAATATATGCGAGAGATACTAATTCTCTTGATTTTCGATATAACATGAACAAATGAATTTTTGCTTGTGTGTTTAATTTTGTTGAAAAATTGTTAAGGAAAAATTTGTAATTATACGACGTAAATTAAATTGTAGTTTGCGTCGAATCTTTGATAAGATAAAATCCTGTTCTAGTTAACTAAAGAATGCGCGAAGAGAGAGAATGCGATATGGCGCAGGATGTATTCACGCGCACACTGTTCTTTTAAATATCTGCCACTTTCAGCTGGTGAAAGAATATTTTGCGCTTCTTGTTTTTTTTTTTTTTTTAAATTAACTGTTCAACTTTCGAATCATGCGCTATATGTCTTTATTATTCTCTTTTATGTTGCACGTATATAATCAACTTTTCAGTTCTGTAATTATATCTCAATTAAAATGTGACTGAATGTAACTAAAACATATTATATGTAATTAAAATTACAAAGGATGCAAGATTAAATTATTTGGTGACTGAATTCTAATTTAAAATCAAATCTCATTTAATGAAAAGATCGTTTTTAATGTGTGTGGTTAGTTTTTTATAGATCTGCGAGTGTATACTGGATCGAGTAAAAGTGTATAAATATAGTATGGAAATATATGGTTTTTGTTTCAATGCTAGTTACAGCCAATTGTTGATATATATTTTCTCGTTTCCTACTATGGCAGTTTATAATAACTGACTGAATATTGAGAAGCTTCAAAATTCATTCTTCCTTATCGATTTTTCAACTGCTTTTGTAGTGTGAGACAAAAGCATCATTTCGAGGTCGACTCGACGTGGTCAGGTAGAACTTGGACTACTTTACAGTATCTAAAATACAGATAGAAGTGGTTATTATATACCTGAAAGAAGATTCCGTAGTCTCTCTCTCGCGTGTTTTGTTTTCGTTCTGCCCCTCTTAAATATCAAAGTTTAGAAAGAAAATTTGGTTTTAACGAACGTATACTTCTTTTCTTTGAGCGAACTTGCAACCGACTTACGATCGACTTTCCGTTACCGTCTCTATCAAGCTTCTTCTCTCAAACAGCAGTTTTGCCTTCTTTTATCTCAAAATTAAAAAAGAAGACTATTGCTGTCGTCTCGTGCTGATAGTTGGCTTGGTCTATGAAGAGGATGAAACGACAAAGAGAAGCCCGACACAAAGTGCGAGAGTATGGAAAGGGTAGTGAACATAGGAGAAGACAAGGAAGGATAGAGTTAGATAGGACGCGCGCGCGAGTTGGTTTAAATTTAATTTACTTCTCTAGCAATCCTTTTCTATTCTCTCTTTATCACGTGAGCGACTGCTATGGCAGGACGAAGAAGGGAGGGGAAAGAGAAGTGGTGAGGAAACGAGATTGGTGGAAGACCAACTCGCGAATGTAATTTCCTCAGGGCACGAACTGGATGTTCCTGCGGGTTGCAACCGTCCGAACCGACCAAAGTCCTTTTTCCGGAGACTGACTCGCCTGGAAGATCCTTTGAACGTGACGATAATGCGAACCTGCGAGCACCTCACTTTATTATGGCAGTTTATAATGAATGTGCTAATAATGCGCGCGAGCGCATTTGTAGATATTGTCTGAACATGCCTCTCGCTTTCTCGAACGTTGAGACAGTCTTAACAAGTTCGCCGAGTGCAGTCTTAACAATGACTTGCGAACTATAATAAACAGAGCGCATCAGGAAACAAGAAATTTATCTCTCGATAGAAAGAAAATTTAACATTCGAAGATGTTTTTCGGGTTTGAACCGCGTTAGGTCATTTTTATACCGTTTTGTGAACATTTCAGCTTACTTCATCAAGATGTTAAGACCAGCCTGATAGTATCAAACTGTTCAAACCCGAAAAACATCTTCGAATGTTAATACAACACACCGCGAAAGCATCAAATATCAGAAAGAAAATTATTTAAATTGAATGACGTTATTTTATAAGTTTTACAATTTAGTTTTGCCGTGTGTGCACGCGCGTATCGACTTTTTAAAAAGATGTGTGATAGTTTAGAAATTCATTTTGTAATTTAACAATATTGTAAATACATATATATACAATCTATTAGCAGTATTGAAGTGCTAATAATAAATTATCAAAACATATATGACAAGAGGAAAATCAATTTTATTCTAGCATGCAAATGCGTAATGCAGAAAATAGTCAGTTTTGAATGGCAATTTTCTAACGTGCTCAAAAGGCAAATTTATATATCCGGTTTAGTCTATGTTTATGATTGATGAATAGTATCAAGTACATGAATCACGGAGCGTCAATTATGTAAGAGCTTTGTACGAATTGTGCTAATTCAATAGTATGCCGCGTTAACGACAAACCTCATCACTAAAGCCGTATAATAACGTTGCGCTTACTTCCAGCTGCGATTTTGTTTCTATATTGACGCGAAATTGCCGAGTGACTAAAACATTAGCTTTTGTCCATAACGCCAAATCATATTGAGTCACACATACGACGAATGCAATTTTGGTCTTAGACAGAACGAAATTATTTTATGCTGTAATCGCTAACGTAGATTTTTCTGCGCTAAATCTCTTTTTCAAAAAATGCTACGACCGAACTAAAAGTTCCTCCGTACGTGACAATAATGCAAAGTATACAAGTCTTCTTGGTAACATTATACATTATTAACAAGAGAGAATTGATGTTACGAAACGTGCGAATGCGATATCAATATTTTTGTTTGTTATATAATACATTCTTGATCAATTTTGTCGATCAAAAGTTTCGAAAATTTTTGAGACGTTCGATGTTAATATGAAAATTCATAAATCAAAAATTGATTATTAGCACGAAAATGTAGCGTACTATGTAGCACGCAGTATGTCAGAAGTTGATTTAAAGTTAATTATTGTCAGATGTACTTTTTTACTTATAATGTAACTTTTCAATCTTTCTGACTAAAGTATTCAAAGCCAGTTGAAAATGTTTGTTAGAAACTTGAGCTAATCTATCTATTTCCCTCGACATCATTTTCAGCTCAAGGTTGGTTCTAAGCGTCTCTCCTGTCGAACTCGGCCCGGACCTTGGCGAGGACACCTCATCATTCGTCTTCCGCGGTATACCTAAGGGAACGATGCAGCGTTCAATGACGTAATCGACCCTTCGGTCAGCTTGCCGTGACCTCGTTCGAGTTGCTGGTCATTTACTCGGTTCTTTGCGACTCTGAGTCGCCGGAAAATCAAAGAACGAAACAGGACATTAGACAAATCAAACTCGGAAAATTTGTCTTTTTTAATGGAAAGAGAAAAGAATCTTAGAAAAATCTCGTAAAGAAAAGAAAACATAACACAAGACAAAAAATTAGAAATAGTGTGAAAGCATAACATACTTATACAACAAAGACAAGTCATACACTTGACAGAACGCAGAACGAACAATTGAAAAACGTAGGGGATGAGTCGTTTGTCAGATATCTTGCTGATATCCAAAGGCGTCAGAAAAAAAGGATATCGGAAGAGGAACTCTGAAAGCGTGATAGACTTGCAAGGAGCGAAACGTTGACAACAAAAAAAGTCCGAACATTTTACGAGTCACTGGAACATATCGGCGAAAAATTCTTTGCCGCTCTTCTTCTGCTGTATCGCCTCGGAACTGATTACCAAAAGAAAGTACAAAAAAATATCTTTTGATTGGACAAAACTATGAAAACGGGTGAATATAAGTCAAGACGATCTTCACGAGGATACGAGATCAAATCATACAAGAACTCTTTTTGTCAAACAAAAGAATCAAGAACAATAATCTGACAATTCTCCTGAGATCTGGTAAGTAGGAGAAGATTGCGTTGAATGTCCGTGTGGTGTGAATATCCGCCAACCAGGAAAGTTGTTTGCGATCGTCGCAGTTGTCGTCGCGCGCGCGACGCCGGGCATCTTTGGTCGTGGTCGCGAGCTTGCTATCATCACGAGGATCATCTCGTCGTTGCCTTCCCCACTTGCGGCGGCCACATGACTTGACGATCGCCCCTTTCTCCTCCCGCTGCTGCTCCTCCTCGTTTGACCGAAGGCGGCGGCGGCGGTGATGATAACGACGTCGATTTGGACAATAGCGCGACAAGAAATCAACGGCTAACAACGCGAAGCAACGGCGAATTCGGCACTTAAAACGAATGACACGCACCACCGGTGATTCAAGTCAAGTTGGCGGCAGTCATCGGTCCGCAGGTGCGAGACGCGTGTGAGTGTGAATGTGTGTGTTTGTGTATATCAAGCATTTTCCTGGATTATCATCGTGTTTGTTTGTTTCATACGTGCGCATAATTAGTAAAGGAGATAAAACTGATTTCACACACAGGAGAAAATTCTGGCGCAGCAGGATTGAGAGAAGAATTAAAGAATAGAAAATTTCAGAATACAGGAGAGCGCAAAGATTTCTATCGATAGGCTATAAATTCTGTTTTTTGAGCAATTATAGTATATTCGTCGCGACGACATAACATAGTGTTACTTGTGGTAACGTGGTGTTACCGTTTTGTCACTGCTTATCTGGCAAGCGGTAGAAACAGTGGCGACGGTGGCGGTGGTGTTAGTGTGGTGGATATATATATATATATAAATACATACATATATATATATATATATACACACACACACACACATATATATAGTGGTGGATGATAGCGATATCCTGCGCGGACGAAACTGGAGCAGCCGGTGGCGATTGTCGTCGTCGTCGCAGCGGAGGAGCTATCATGTGCACGCGGCGAATTCTCGGACTAGCGGTCGTGGCCCTGCTGACTTTTGGCGGTCGAGCGCGCGCGTACACTAACCAGTGGGCGGCACACATCGAGGGAGGAGAGAAGGTAGCCAAGCAGGTCGCCGAGGACTACGGCTTTCGCTATTTGGGCAAGGTCAGTGCCAGTTTCCTATTCGACGGAACGACTCAAGAATTCTTTTCTTCTTCTCTTTCAATGCATCGTTTCTCAAAATCGTACGCTATATTTCCAAGCACATATACATAGTGACGAAAAAAGCAAGTTCTCTTTCGCGCGAGTATAACGAGCGCTATTACACTTTTTGTCTGACACGGAGTATCTGCCGATTTAATTGCCTTCGATAATCTCGAGTGATATTGATTTGATTAATCTCGATCGTGATGAAATGGAAAGATCATGAAATCAGATTTGTAACATTTTAATTTTAATTAGCTGAAGAAGACCCGGTAAACGAGTAAAAACGTTGCTATACAAGTATTTTGTGACAATAAATAATTGTGCAACATATTAATAAATCAACATCTTATTTTTTATATCATGGTTTACTCATCAAATTAATAAGATTATTTGTAAGTTTATCTATACTCTGAGTCAAAATACATTGTATATTTAATAATGTTTAATAATTTTAATAATTTTTAAACTTTCTTCCAGACGGCAATCAAATAAACGGTCGTTACCTTTTTGTTCTCGATTAGGCCGCTCGATTAGTATACAAGTAGACATTCTAGGTTAAAATTGTAAAATTTATTTGTCTGATGTTATCAGCTGCGGTAAATTTGAATGCAAATTTAAATTAGAAAACACTATTCTTGTGTAAAGAACAGAATAATTTAGTATTGTGATGAGAAAATAATGTACTATTAAATTAAATTTTGTTTTTATTACTTGGAGAGGTGATATATCAACTAGATAATATTTTTTCTTATTAGATATGAAAGAATTACTATATTTAAAGAAAAACAAATTGCAATGTAATGAACGATTAAATATATGTGCGACTGACGATCAGAAAATACATTTCTAATAACTGTTTGTCGATATAATAACTTTAGTTCGAATAAATAGATGCACCAAAGAAAAGCATAATCTTTGGAGATTACTTTTGCAATTTTCAAACCGTATTTTGTTATTTTCATGTTGAAACCGGAAAGATAGGATGTTATTCCTTCCGCTTTTTGATAACGTATAGGTCTCAAAGGAAACTTTCGTATTACGAAAGAGATAATGTTTGAAGTCAAAATATAGACAGAGATCAAAATTTAATGCATCTTCAATCGAAAGCTCTCGCGCATTGTATGTAAGATCGGTACAGCGCTCTTTGAGTTCAATTTACAGACGTGATATAAAATACTGATAAAATTATACGAACATTTTAAAACAAACATCAAATCCATATCGCTATATTTTTCTGCTCGTTGCAGTCGCAATGGAAAAATTTCTTGCGCTGACTCATGCCATTTTATCGCGCTTTTTTTACCATGTCACGCAATATTACCGAAAGATTCATATAGCGCACTTCTCCGTTGATCTATCGTGCAGTAATCCCGAATTGTAATTTGTTCAGAAAATTACATAACTTTCAGATGAGAGATTTTCTCTCAGATAATTTTTTTCGATTCCGATCTCTATCAAAAAGCAAAAGTGTGAGCTAGTTGCAACATTTTATTAAAAATCAGTAGCGCTTGAAAAAGATATACGCGGTAGATTTTTTCATTTTTTTAATACAATGTTTCTTTTCGAATATATTCTAAAACTATAAACAATGTGGAACTAATGATCAAATACATAAATAATAAAAATTTGAAGAAAACAATTTGAACAAACAATGAAGAAAAATACTTTGTATAATATATTGTATTTATGTATATTTATGTATTCGTCGCTTTATTTTTACAATGTTTTTCTTAGATTCTTGATTTAATCTCAGAAATATTAATAATACATCTGTTAAAAATTCACACGTAATCATATGTAAAGTTAAGCATTAAAAACATTCAGAAGCTTGCAATCAGTGCAAATAATAAATACAACGTAAAAATATATTTTGTACAACATGTTTTATAACGTTTGATTTTGAATTTTGAATTAATGGTTCTTATTTCCCTGCTAATTGAATAAGCACAATATGTTGCAATCGCGCTGCGCCTATCAAGACAAGATAACGATCCAGTTCTGGTTTATGACCGACTCTCCTCGAGAAACAGCCGATCGCGTACGCTGACGTAAGCTACAATGACGTATGCTGCGATTTCAGCGACCGTGAAGGCCGCGATGTTAGACTTCGCGCGTATTTGATGAAGGCAAAGAAATTACCTTCGTGGCAATCTTCTTTCTACCTAAATAGCTCTGAAATCAAACTCTCTATTTTTTATTTCCACATCAATTCTTCAGTTGTATCCAATCGGCGAACTTCAATTTGGAAAACCGTGCACGACCGTAAAACGATGAAATATCGCGCTCACCGATAAGACAGTTTGGAAAATATCGTAATTTTTACAATGTTTATTTTACGAATATCGAATTTAAGTAAAAATAGTTTTTAAAATTTTGCTAAAGTTTTAAAATTTTTCTTGTGAGGTTATTTAAATTTATAATTTTTCATATTTTCTCGATATTTATTGAATGATTCTCTTTTATGTATTTAAAAGCAAAACGGTTATGTGTTACAAAGTTTGTAAATAAAAAGAAAAACATAGATGTGCGTTTTTTCACGTTAAATTCTTTACACTATGCAGGGAAAAGTATTCACAACAATAAAAGAAATAATGTAATTTATATAGTAAGAAAATTAATATTTAATTTTTATATCACAATGTTCTTGCTTCTGCATTTCACAGTATAGTTGCATACGTGATATGCAAAGAAAGCACACGACAAAGGCCGGTATGTAATTGGCGCCGATATATTGATATCGGTAACTTCCAAAATTACATAACAATGGGACGTAACAAATAAGAAAAGATAAGTCCACACATTTGTACATTCCGTTAGCGTTTTCAATTGAGTTAATACATATACATATATGTACATAACGCGGAAAATCCACGATATCCGGTTTGCGATTGTTTTTTTTTCTATTTTTATTTATCGTTTTTTTGGATATTTTCTATTGACACAATAGATGACGAGCTTCATTACATCAAATATACATATTACATTGACAGACACTCATAATTCACGTAAATCGTGCTCGAGCTGAATTTCGTTGTGACGTGAACTTATGTTCGCAGCCGTAACGCGAGGATCGAATTTTAAAGCGACACGCAAAATTTCACGGAATCGCAAAATTTTAATTGTATTAATTTTTCTTAAGAAACACAGGGAACACACAAGTTGTATGTTACGCTGTTCCGTTACGCTCACGCTGCCGGCTAACTGGCTTCCAATATTTGCTAATATAATTTTGCAAACTGCTGTATAGTCGCACTTACGAAACGCACGATAATCGCGAACGCCTGTTTATTTTAACGTCTCGATAATAGAACGTGCATATTCATCTTCTGCTACGTTTCGTGGACCTCGTAATTTTCCGCAGAAAGCGCTAAATATATATGCGCTAAATATTTTTCAAGATAAAACTAACTTGTGATTACGCAAAATGTGCATTAAATATCTATAAACACAGAACGATTTGCAAGAACAGGAGAATATCAAAGAAATAACGTATTGCTCAATTGCACACTGCTTGTTTTACGTACAAAATAATCAATAATCGGCCTTTACTTTTATGATGTTATTTGATTACTCGGCTAAATTGAATGTTTATAGTGTAACATGCGCGCTTGGTTTGTTATATATCCATGATGATATTTTGAAAATTTATTCTGATTCATTAATTCACAAAGAAAACATATTTGTGATAACATCGTGACTTAATTGTACGAAGATGGTTTTCAAGTTCTTATTTAATATTGTGACAAACATATTGTAAAGAGAATTGCTTGCAATTGTTTATAAATCATGAATATTTTGCACATTTTTTTGAAAAAAGTGCAATAACGCGTTATCAAACAAACAAGTTTATTCAAATATGTTTCACGTGTTTCATATTACACATGAATAACGATTATTGAAGAAAATCTTATCATCAGGGGAATATCCTGTTTTTATTAGAGATTATAAGAAACTCAAAGTAAATTTATGACTCGCAACGACGCTTGAATTTGTTTGACAAAAATTTATTGGCATCTAATTTGGAAATGTTAAGTTCTTTTAACATTATTTTGTGAATTAAAACAAATTATAAATTAAAAAGTGAAATCGGTTCTAAATTCAAAAATTAACGATAATACTAACAAGGTTCGAATGCTGATGACGAGGCGCATAAAAATTTATTAAAAAACTTGCATTTTTTATATGAATAAAAAATAAAAAAAAATTATAAATAAACATTAAATGCTTGAAAAAAGTTACTTAACACGTGTGCAGATATAGTTGTAACAAACTCTTTCATCGATTTACTCAAGCTTCTCTACATAAAGTTAGAGTTAAATCGAAATTGAAAATATCGAGACTACTGATAAGACCGGTCAGCGAGATACGCCAGAGAGAAATGATTCGGTCGCGAGAAGATTCGTTTCGACGATAAGTTGAACGTCCATAGAAAGACTCGCTTCCAATTCGGATTCTCAGATTCGTTTGAATTTTTCTTCGTTTTCTTGTACCGTATCGAGGCAAAGAACTCACGTAGGAAGAATTCTTTCCGAGAGGAGTTGGATAAATAAAAGAGATTTTTTAATTGCGAAACTGCTTTTTCTCACCGTGAGATCACTGATTTCTTTTTACTGGAGATCTGGAAAACTTTCAGAACACTTATTTTTTAAACGAAAGATCCCTTTCGTGAAAAACTCACGTCGAATTTTGCGTAACGATAGCGAGATTATTTTTACCGATATTAACGAGTTTTTTGTTTTTTCAATAGAAACCGTAAATGAACACTGTTCTTTTTGTCATCTGGAACACTTCTAAAATCTCGAGAGCATTTGTTGAACAAACAATTATTGATAATACTTCTCCATTGGCTTTTATTGCGCAAAAACATTTGATTTTCATCTGACTTCGCGTTCAGTTAAAACGTAGTATATATAGCAAAATAATAGTTAAAAAATATAAAAATTCTCACATAAATTTAA